CGCCAGTGTCTGTATGAGGATCCAACCTAACGATTTCAATAATTTCGAATACGCCATTCGAATACGCCATTCGATTCGCTAGTCGTTTGCTAATTTTTGCATCTATTTTTATTTTGTTTGTATATTAATTATTTTGGGTAAAAAATCGAAAATAAAATTTGGACAAGTGTAACAGGTGTAACCGCCATTTGAAACCTTTATCTCATTTTATAAATATTTCGATGCTAAAATGTTTGCTAGTCGTTTGCTAGATCTGTATATACAAGTATTTTTTCTATTTTATCGATAAATTGTCCCAAATTTTATTAATAGCTTTCAATAATCTGGTAATTTTAGTACTGGTTATTTTTAGGCAACTCAATGCGCATGCGTTGTTTTTGTTTGCGCCAGTTACTAGATTATTAATTCTCTCGCTATTTACCTCCACTAATCGTTTTCCGTCAATCAGCGTCATTCGGTATCAAAGCGCCGGCACAGTATAACCAGTATGTCCACTTCGTGTCGGCATCTTTGATCTCCTTTTCCGGATCACATGAGCATCCACCATGTTAAATCCAGGACCGATTTGAGAAAAGTGCTTCACAAATAATAAAACAGATAAATAATAATATGGATTCGATACAGTAAATCAATAAATTCAATGTGTGAATCGAATAAAACGTTTTATTAGTAACAATTATTCGTAAGAGTGATCACTAAAGAAAATTTCTGATGTAATTGCTTATAAATTGTCTGTACATACATATGTATGTATACGTTCCTATCGTCTTGCATTTCATTGGATCCAACCCAAAACAAAAGTTGCGCGGCGATACCTGCGCGAAGACTCAGTTTTTCGCTGAGTGGACCTACTGGTTATACTGTGGCGCCGGTGTCTGCATGAGGATCCAGCCTTAGTCCGACAGCTGGCTTCACACCGGTGTGCAGTTGAGCTGGTTGAGTAGTGTCTCCACAGTATACAGTGGCTGCGTTCCCTGCCGAAAATGTTCGATTAAAACCGATTATAAAAAAAGTTATCCGAATCGAACGGGATTTCTGCACCAAAAATACGGTATCAAAAAGGATTAAAATCATTCAAATCGGATATAAATCACTTTAGACGGATTAGTATCAGGTGATAAGAATCTATGTCAATCCAAACTTCGACGATTGCTCGTACAAAAAAGCAATTGGTC